TTTAATACTCCTCAAAATATGTCAATTTGAATTTAATAAGAAGCAACCATTACACGTGCCGTTTAAATTAAAACTAAATTTCATGTCTTCTACAAGATACACTCCATTGATTTTAATATTAATTACGTGTTATAAGTCTTATTATAAGATTTGCACTTTTAGGTGTAAACATANATTACGTGTTATAAGTCTTATTATAAGATTTGCACTTTTAGGTGTAAACATATTTTGCCTATTTTATACATTATGATGTTGCACAGTATAGTAAAAATACATCATTTATACGTTATCGCATGAAATATTTACTAATTATTTATTAATTCCCATTAGATAATCATTGATTTAACTTAAAAAAGTAAAATATTACGCAATTCATTTCATGCGTCTATTTAATGGGTTTCTAAAAAAAATATGTTATAAGAATCGAATAATAAAATACTAAAAAAAATGTTTTGAATTAATGTCGAAAAATATTTTTGATCGTTAATTCTAACCCTCAAATACTACAGCCGTACATAGGAGAAATAGTCAATTTTTTAATTCAATTATTTCATGTGTTATTCATATTGTAATATTTATTGATTATTGTCTTGTTTTGTTTTGCAGTCGTTCCAAGGTAGCCAAGGTAGAGCATATCTTTTCAATTCCGTGTAAGTTGATTTTTTATTACCATATTTGCTTAAACATATGTGCGAATTATCATCTTTGATAAGATTATATTATACCTAGATTCAAGAGAAATTCATAAATGTTTAACTATTATTATATAATTATTCGTACAAAACGAATTGCGATTTAAGTTAATTATTTTTTTCTTGATTTATATCAAGATTATTTTTTAGTATTTGTTCGTCATTGAGTTACTATTTTTTATATTTTATAAGATATTTTAGAGTATAATATTCTATTTTGATTTTTTAGCGTGAACGTTGGATGTGGACCGGCAGAAGAAAGGATATTGTTGACCGGCTTGCACGCTGTTGCTGATATCTATTGTGAATGCTGTAAGACCACTCTTGGTTGGAAATATGTGAGTCAATAATTAGGGTCCGGATTTAAATGCATTTATAAATTTTCATTTAGCCATTTTCAAGAAACCCAAGTTCATGCAACCTCGTCGTACGAATTTTCCTAGAATATTTTTTTATTTTTAGGTAGATGATCCTCTTCTAAACCTCCCAAAACTGAACCTAAACATTATTAAATTTTTAAGCAAATCAATTAAAAACATTCTTCATTTAACTTGATTTTTTATTAAAAAAAAAAACAACCCCGGGAAATTCATACGTTAGAAAATGTTTGTCAAACTTTTTATAATGTGTAATGTATTCAAATATATCACTGCTATTTGTATTATTTTGTCTCAAATCGGATCGCATTTGACATGTAAAATATGTTTTGTAATACATTTTTCATTGAACTTTCTATTTTAACAACGAAATAATCAATATAAATTAGAAAGAAAAATATGTTGCTATTGTGATATTTAAGAAAAATACCGATAATACGTTTTACGATGAATGTACACCCAAAGAAAAACCTCAATCAAAATAGAAAGAGAAATTTTATCAAGGGTTTATGATAATGTTTTATTAATACGAACAAAATAACTATTCTTATAAATAATTATTGTT